TGTTCCATCTCAACCTCATCAAAGTTTATCAGCTGTTTGGTTCTCTGGGTTTGCTGCTGAAAATCTTGATCCAAGGAGTACATAGTACTAAGTACTAAATACTAAATAAAACAGAAGTGGAATTCAGTTTCTTCTTCTCCCAAGAAAGTGTTTTGATAGTTGGCCATGTTCATGTTTGTAGTCGCTGTGGCTTAGAGGTTCTTTAATTATGGAAGAGGGGAGAGAGAGAGCATTCTTCCCTTTTAAATATCCTATAGCATGCCATTTAAGACATTTTTCCACTGAGATGTGGGAGTTAAGGTTTGAATTTCCATAAACAGTGGAAGGAATTGAACTGAGGCATCTCACATCCTAGGAGAGCGCTGTAACATCTAAGCCATTTAAATACCTTATGCATTGCAAATGGTATTGCCTTCCTTGCCCTTTGAAAGGTAAGTCTCAAGAACCTATCCAGAACCTAAAGGAAAAGAATTGCTTTCTTTCAACAACGACTACTGATGTACTTCATGTGTTGTAAGTCAAGATAGAATCTCTCACTAGGAATTATTTACCTACATTAAACTGCTCCCAGCTCAGAATGCAGCCTGTTGTAAATCTGAGTGATTTAAAATTAGTTATATATATAAATAATTATACATATATATATATATTTATAAACTGTGACCAAGCACCTTAACTTGCATGCTATTGCTTATAATATCTAGTTAATGCTATTTTTTTGTGGATCTGAGCTGTGAGACACTCAAGGTCACAATAAAAAAGCTGTGGAAGAGCAAAATATAGAATTTAGATGTCAAAAGTCTTAACCAAAAATCAACCTCCCTCTATCACATTTCATCAGAATCCAATAGATAAGTCATAAGCATGCTATTGACCTACGCTCCCACCTTTCCTTGATTACTGCACTTCCTTGCATTGCAGTTGTATTATTATTGTTTGAAAGTATCACCCTCTTTAAATGCATAATTGCAGTGATTGTGCAATCGTTATCTCTATTAATTACTATAGCAACTGGAATAAAAACATTCTTCAGCTTTTCCCATATAAAAAGGTCTTCACTTTCCTTCAGTTTTATGCATATGCCGAGTGAATGTGTATGACACAATGAAAATTGCGTGCTTTGAAGGCTGCTCAAGTTAGTGAGGGTGGAAAGCTAAATTTCCCTGAAATACTTGTTTTTAAAAAAAGGGAAGAAAACCTTCTGATCTGCTCAGTAGGACTCAAATTAAGTAAGTGTACTATTTCTCCAGCTTCCTTCACATGCTCTTGGCAAAGCATTTCACCAGCTAGGAAGTGGAGCAAACCAAGTAGGCAGCAAAATAAGTCCCAGTATGATCCAGATGCTCAAGCTGTATATTCTAACATTAGAGCTTGAGTCTTTCTCCTCCCTAGGCTTTAATGAGGCCTTGCTTACACTGATATTTTCGCAATTACAACTCCCAAACTTTGTCTAAATATAACAACTGACATCATTAGCATAAATAATCAAAATCATGAACAAAGCTTCATCTTTCTTCTTCCTTTCTTTAAATGTAGCATCTGGAAAGGACAAGTAGTTCTTGTTTGTCTTTTTAATTAACAGAATTCCTGTTAATTAAAAGAAACGTGAAAACAGAGAAAAACGTGAAAACTTAACTGAAGGGATCTATGTTGTTCTGTTAACATCAAAACAAAAGTAGCATGATTTCTACCACAAAGTTTCGAGAATCTGATGATATTTTCACCCTAGCTACAGTCTGACATACACAACTGTTTCAGTATTTTCACAGGGCATGTAGGAATTACATTATCTTTGAGATGTGTCAAACCTTGTTACAATTTGCCAACAGGTTGAAAAGATACTACTTGAACTCTTGTGCATGTACGCATACACAAACACTGTGATTGCACAAGTTTCATTTCCTTAGGAAACCAGGCTGAAAACAGAAGGCAAAAAATAGGGAACTCAAACCTGTATTCCAGTACAATATACCACATACATTCTAGTTAGTGAATAGATTGAGTTCTTCATTTCTCCTGTACAGGCAAAAAGCAGTACAATCCACTGCCTGTTGGATTTAAATGCAGTTAATGTGGATTCCATTTTTTGCCATTAATTGTGTAATTCTAGTTAAATTCTCTCCCATTTCTCCTTTTGCCTGCTTAAACAAAGTTTGGTCAGGCAGGAGCAAGTGCTTTCTCCATGTCTTCAGAGTGCTTAGCATGTTACTGCCCACAAAAGAATCTGCAGATGACTAGAAATACATAGGCTGCATTTCTCTAATTAATAATCATACAAATAGCCAGAACAGAAACAATATCTGAAGTTTTCAGTAACAAAAAGTACATCAAGTACATCAAAGAAGAGAGGTGTAGGCAGGTAACTTTTTGAAATCAGCATACAGATCAAAGGAAATTTATTATTGATTTTGCTGACAATTCTAAACTTGGATTTTTTTTTTTTTCCCCTGGATCATTTAAAGCAGATAAATAAATAATTAAGCTAAAGGAAGCAAATAAATAAATAAATATGGAAAATGAATCCAGAGTAGTTTTTTCTACTCTGAAGAATAGAATTGGGTAGAATAGGATAGGATTCTTATGCAGACATTTATTTGGCTTCTTAGAAAAGCACAGAAATCATGAGTTAGTAATGGTCCTGCTTATCATTTCTCCAGTTTCTGAATTGAGAATCAATGCTACATCAAGAAACTCTGGCTAGTTTTGATGTTACTGATGATGCAAGGTGCTGATAACTGTAGCAGAGGTCTTGAAGTAAGCTAAAAAGAGTTACAAATGCCTGGCCTGCTCTGCACCTTACTGTAAACAGCCTGAGGGATGGGTTCTGTGATAAGAGAGTAAGCCTACACCACGCCCTAGATTCAGTTACATGAGAGAGGGTGACACATTTTCATCCACACCGATCTCTTTGATGCTGTTTACCTTTACTTTCCTTTCGGTTCAAACTAAAATACTGCATTTGTGCCTCAGGTTTAGCAGCTCTAAAATAAGGGTCCTAAATTGTTTAAAAATCATCCTTAAGTCTGAGACAGGTTCATTTTCTATTAAAATTATGCTCCAAATTAATGCAACAACGGTACCCCAAATTGTGCAAATTTAAAGAAACAGTCAACGAAACCTGATCTTAGTTCATACTGGAGGTCTACCATTCTCAGTTTGTAATAAATCAGTAACAAGATTTATACTGGGAAAGCCACTTCTTTCCTCCAATACTTTTAGATCTCCTTATGAGAAGGCAAAGTCACTAGATGCCCTCCTTTGCTTCACTCTTTGTTACTAAGACTGTCCCTTGAGAATCCCAGGCCCTGGATATAAGATTTTGGGATAAGGAATACTTCCCCTTGGTCAAATAGGATTTGATCAGAGATAATTGAGGCAAATTCAGTGCATATAGATCCCCAGAGCTCATTGGGAAGCACCTATGAGTGCTGAGAGAGCTGGCAGAAATGATTGCCAAGCAGTTCTCTATCATCTTTGAAAGGTTGTGGGAATGGGAGAGATGCCTGAGAACTGGAGTAGAGTAACTCCAGTCTTCAAAAAGAGCAAGAAGGAGAAACAGGGAAACCACAAGCCAGTCAGCCTCACCTCTGTCCCTTGGAAGACAATGGAGCAGCTTATTCTGGATATAATCTTCAAGCAAGTCAATGAATAGAAGTTTATCAGGAATGGGAAACATGGTTTCACCAAGGAAAAACTGTGCTTTGCCAGTCTGGTAACCTTCCATGATGTCACAACTGGCTGGGTACATGAGGGGACAGCAGTGGATTTTGGCTATCTTGACTTCAGCAATGCTTTTGACACTGTCTCCCATAACAACCTTTTGGGTAAACTTACGAGGTGTGGAATTGGTGAGTGGACAATGAGGTGAACTGAGAACTTTGACTAAGCTCAGAGATTTATGATCAGCAGCACAGTCTAGTTGGTGGCCTGTACTATATTCCCCAGGCACTGATATTTAGTCTAGTATCATTCAACATCCTCAGGAAGTGAGCAGTGGAAGTTCCATCTGAACATGAGAAAAACTTTTTTACAGAGGATGACAGAGTACTGCAACAAGCTGCCCAGAGAGGTGGTGGAGTCTCCTTCTGTGGAGATAATCAAAATCCACCTGGATACTTTCCTGTGTAATTTGCTGTAGGGAACCTGCTTTAGCAGGGGGGTTGAACTAAATGATCTCCGGAGGTCCCTTCCAAACCCTACAGTTGTAGATCTGTAATTCTGTGGTTCTTCTTGTGTATAATGTGTTTACAAAGGCCTGTTTTGCTTTCATACAAATTCTAGGAATTTCCAATACTCAGAAACATCTGATTAATTTTTCTAGTTAGTAATGAACCAGAATTTGTTTTTGATCCACAAAAGGAATCTTATCAGGTCCCTTATGTGGAAAGAACTTTGGGATACAATTCTGATCCCACTTATTTGTTTGTTGTTGTTTTTTAAGTGCGTCGTGATGAACTATGAAGCAGCACACTGTGCAGACTGTGTGCAGAAACTACAGAATTTTTTTTACTGGAATGGTTAATGTGTCTTTATATTAAAAATCTGAACTGAGGAACTGAGAAACTGATATCAAGAAAGGTTTTTAAATATATTGCATGGATATTTTCCGTAACTTAAATATGTCATTTGTACCTACAGAGTTTTATGTGGAATAGGGAACATTTTTTAAGGTTCTGGGCAGGATAAAGTAGATATGTTTTCAGAATAAAGCCTCACATCAGGGAAAAATGAGCTTGTTGCACAAAAAAACTTCGGTTGATAAATATGAGAAATAACAAAATAGAAAATATCGCTTACTCTGACTTAAAAGACACCAAGTTTTACCTTTCTTATTAGAACATTTAAGAACAAAATTAATTTACCTAGTTCTGCACATTTATAAAACCTAGCTTGTAATGCTGATTCTGCAGTTCATTAAACATTCATTATTAAACTTACTGCATCTGTTAAAATGGCTTGTGCACATGTAATTAGAATTTCAATAGCATCCTGGTTTTTAGGGTTGTATTGGAACTGTTGAGTTATGGTCTGAACAACTGATTGACCACCTGAAGCAAGGACTGAGTCACCTATGGGAACACAGGTGAAGGCTATTCACATTTTTGACCTGCAGGGATGGAGCCTGGCTGCACCTCTCCTAGACTCCATTTAAGTGCTGACTGCCATGGGAGAAGGATCACTTTCTGGAGATCCCTCCTTTTGGAGATTTCTGTTGTGAGCTGAGGATATGGGTGAGTGTTTTGGTTTTGATTGTTGTGAAAAGCTGTCCTAACCACACCGCTTTTCTAATTGTACATTTGTTAATTGTATGAGGGTGTGTGATCACCCTGGTGTATGAACTATTTGCTAGAAATAGTCTTTAAGTGCTTAAGGAATAAATCTGCAAGTTGTTTGTTTTTGTTTTTTTTTTTAATTTAATAAATGCTTTTGCTATTAGGTACTTATGCAAAAAAAAAAAAAAAAAACAAAAAAACAAAAAAAAAAAACCAAGCTATTTAAGCCTTCAAATATATTTTGAGTTATGTTCTATACAGTCCTTAATTGATAAATTTGACTTTATTTTTTTTCACTTTCGCCATATGTGTGTCATACAAAAAATTTTTCTTGTGTGATTTTCCATGACTCTTTTCCCTTGCTGGCACACTCTGTTAGCCTTGTTGCTTGTCTATAACTGGTTTTTATCTTTATTTCTAGCTTCTGTTAGCTTTTCTGGGGGATCAGTGCAAAAGCAGTACTCTTTATGTGCACATGGATTTTGATATATACTTCATATCTTCACCTTAGAACTATACAGTCTTTTTTTTTATGTATATATATTTATATATATGTATGTATTTGTCTCTGCATTAACTACTTTCTTTCTTCTGAAAGTCGAAAGCAAGTGGTGCAGTCAGATCTAAACTGTGTTTTTACTCTGCTGTTTAATTTTATATTGTCTCCTGGAAAAAAAAAAAGAGTTTAAGGAAGACTAAAACTGCAAAATAATCCCTAAGTTCATATAAGTCCTCACGACAGTCTCTAGGTAAGCATGCATTATTAGACAGTCTTTACCTAAATAAGAGCATGTTATTTCTGAAAGACTCTTGCCAAAAAAACCATGCATTCTGCACCTGGTAATCAATGTTCTTAATCAGTAAGGGAACTGTAATGTGAGGGAGGAAGCTAGCTGGGAGAAAGATTACAAGTAGCACTGAAAGAGCTTTGTTACTAGAGATATCTGGTGGAACTCTTCAGGAGGTATGTCTTCAAACAAACTCTGTTCAGTAACGTCATTAAAAAGATTAGTCTGGAGATAAAAATACATGATGATCAAATTTGCCAATAGCAAAACACACGTCTATTCTTAATAGAGAAGAAGACTGCAAGATCCAGGAAGAACTGGATGACTGTAAGGACTGGAATAAGGGATATATAAGGGGAAAATTGAATAGTGTATAGTGCAAATACCATCCAGCGCTAATTCAGAGAGTTTCTGTTGTTAGCATGCTGACTGTAAATAGCTGTGGAGGAGACAGCTGCAGTGGGTGGTTGATCACAATGCTTATAAGTCCCAGGTACAGCCCCAGAGGAGACAGGTGTACTAGATGAGGTTGATTATCATAGTGCTGGAAATGAGTTGTAGTTTTTGATTTGCAGGAGACTTCTTCTCTATGATATTTCTTTGAATCTGAAAATATTAGCACAAGAACAGGTATCATCTGCCCCTGTGCAAATTCAGACTGAACACTAGAAGTTTTCTGGTAGAGTGGCCTATGAATTCTGGAGATGGTGAGATTATGACTTCTCATATTCTGGACAAGCAATCCAATAAGCTTAAATCAAACTTTGAGCTTTTGGGGAAAAGATTATGTGGTTAATTGGAATTACAGAGAAATAGATCTAGTGATATACACCATAATTTAAGTCTGAATATTTTATGGTTCTATGAAGAGTAAGCCTTTTTGGTATCGTGTTTTTCTATGCATTATATGCAGCTTACTGTAGTCTATATTGAGTACAGAACAATTAGCTTCCTTTTTACAACTTCTGTTTCTGTTACTTAATTTATTTTAGCAAAGATTGAATGAAAGATTGTTTATGTTGTATATATGCAGTACCAAAGTATTGAGAGTAAAACAGTTAAACTAGGTTCTGCTGGGTAACTACAAGCTATTCTTCACAATATTTAAAATGTTGTATTTGAATAATACTTGCCAACTCAGCTGAGAGAAATCAGCTTTGTTGCAATTCAGGTCACAGGTGCCTTTTTGTGTGTGCTCTGAGTGACACTTAGATTGAGGAACTGTAAGGAAGAAGCAATTTAAACTAAAATTCTCCACTATGTTGTCCAGCGTTCTGCTGTAGCAGACCCTGTTTGTTTTCACCTGAGGTGTTCCTTGTGAGTAGAGGTGTTTATCCAGCAGTATTTTGGCTCAAGCTGACTGTTAAAACATTGAAAGAAACTGAAATGATGCTGATATACAAATTATGTAAAATACGTGACTATACAACATGGTTGAATTAATACCATTCTTTAAGCACTCTGCCTGGCACTGTTTTTATCCCAAGTCTGGGTTTAGATAACAACTTCCACAGACTCCAACTTCAATACACAGGGTTTCAGTGCTAATATCAAGCTAAGGCATCTTTGTCATGTCTATGCCTGGCCTTTGGTTACTCCAGCACTGCAGCTCACATCTGCCTGGTATGTCTACAGCTGGTTGGGGGACCGTGCTGTGTGCTAAGTCAGTCAACAGATCTGATCTTTTTGTGCATGCTTTCTTTCTAACGCAAGTCAGCTCGATCATCTAGTTCACGTAATGACTCACAAACTGTTGCTCTGGTTTCACCTAGAAGAGGCACATGCCACCTGTGCAGGAACAAACAACCTGAAAAGCACCTTGAGATGCTGTGTCACAGAACAGTGGTACATCTGCTTTGGACATGAGATGTGTGAACTTTGCTTGGAAATAAGTGTTCAACTGTGAATAGGTGTTTGGTGAATAGGCTGTAGTCATAATGAAATTATCAATGTAAGCAAATCCACACTCTCGTCTTGGTGAATTTGACAAGAGAAGATGGCTTCAATATCTAGTGGTACTGTTAATAGTTTGATACTATTGTTTCATCTTCTCCATCTAGAGAAGATAATAATTTATTGCATTTTCTCCTAATTTTACTACCAGGAATGGTTTCATTAAGTTAGCTGAAATATGCAGAAATCTGGTAGCAAGTAGTGGCTTGGAAAAATTCTGCTCTAATAGTTGATGCTTGCTAGTTTTATGAAGGAAAGAGTTGAAAATTATAAGGATATACAAATAAAGTTCGTAATATTGTTTTTGAACTGTTGTCTTACTCTGTTCTTTTATGCTCTGCTTTTGACAGCCTGTATGAGCACTTAAAAAATAAGTGTTATGATACATAATAAAAGTGAGTTTCTGGGAAACCTATGCCTGTCAGGTAGTGATTTTATGAAACACAAGAAAAAAAAAAAGCATTAATCTTATCACCAACTACCAGTTTCATCTTTATTTCAAAGCTTCTACTTAATCAGAATTCCTGAACAGTCAGACCCGAACTTTTCTCACACTAAGGTGTTTCAGATTGCACAGGTGCATTTGAGAAGTGTTTTCCCTCAGATGTTTGTTGAAGCCTTGGATTAAATCTAGAATTTGTATGTTAATGAATTTTGTGTTGAGATATATTATCATGCTTACCTGCCACATGGTTTCACAAAGGGGGGGTCATTCTGCCTTTCTTACTGTTCCTTTCAAAGAAATTTTTAAAAATCTGGTGATTTTAGCAGATGAGCTAATTATAATGCAATATTATCTTCCTTTTTGCATACAGTTCTCATAGATATCACATAAGCTGTAACTACCACAAAGCTTTACTCAGTCTTGAGCAGTGAGTGATCAGTCAAAGTTTTGCCCTTCAAGTTATTTTAATCATGGAATTGGGAAATGATGAGGATAAAACAGTGCTTCAAATTTGTCTATTCATATATTCCTCTTCAGCTTCCTTGATAACTCAGCTATGGTTTCATACTGAGTATGAGAAACTCACATGTGACAGTGATTTCAAATGAGTTAGCTAACCTAACTCAACTCAACTGTAAATACTATAAGCTATCAACATTGCAGCAGCTAAGAGTCTTTATCTCAGTTGTGAGTTTATGATTTAGAAAGCACTTATTTCTGGTTTGAAGATGAAATAAAAATTGAAAGTGTAGATGTTGAATCATAAAATCTACAAGTACTTTTAAAAATATTGGAGCATCTTAAGTCCAATTCTCAGTCTAGGATTTGTGTATAGGAATGCCAGCTGTGCTTGAAGTAGTCAGGGATGAAAGCTTTTAATGGAATGAAAAATCTTTTTCTCTCATTCTAGCTAAAACTGCAGTTTCCTGTGAAGTGAAAGTTACATTTCTTTAGCAGATAGATGACATACAAACAGAAAGGTAGAGTCTAACATCTAATGAATAAGACTAGAAATTTTGTGAAGAAATTCTACAAAGGAAAAATCTAGTGAAGTCATTGAACAAACCATCAGACAGAGAGAAAGTAGTAGAGGTCCATGCTGCATACATCACTACGGAATATGAAAACACATTTCTTACTGAAACAGTTCCCAGTTCCCTACATAGCCTGGGTATCTGTTGGCTTTAAAAGGTGAAGAAAGAAAAAGAATAAAAAGTTCTGTAAAGAAATATCAAAGGCCACTGGAGAAAGATCTTTTAAAAACAGGGACAGTAGCACATGGAAAAATGGTCAGGGGCTACCAAAAATGAAAGAGTAATAACCAGCTGTTTATTACATTGAACCATCAGACTATATATCTTAAAAGCAATAGCAATTCAAAATTTATGAGGCCTATCTGTGAGGCGTTTTTACTCAAGTTAAAAGCTGCAATTATAACGTTTACCAAAGGTTTGTACTGTTTTAAAGGTTAGTTCTCTGAATTCAGTTAGTGTTTTCAATTAAAAAAAAAAAATCAAGAAAAGAAAAAAAGAAAATCAATTCAGGAAAAAAAATAATGAAATGATATATTTACTATATTGGCATACTAAAATGCCCAAGAGTAGTTACATGAATTAGGTGAATTACTAAAGCTAAAAAACTGAAGCTCGTTAGAAGCTCTTACCCTTTATACTTGATACAATGCATGTAGGGTCAAGAAACACCAGAAAAAACTTTCCAAGCTCGCAGGCAAACTCACAGAACAGTCTGTGGGGCAGAACTGAAGTTGCACTGTATTGTCAAAGAATGATCAATCTTTAACTTTAAAAAAAAAAAAAAAAAAAAAAAAAAAGGCAGGTGAGCTTTCTTCTTGGTGAAGAGTTTGTAGAACAGGAGCTCTTGTACTGGAAATTTCTTGGATGTGACTGGAAATGAGTGTATTTCTTAGAGAAGTCTTGCCTACTCTGGAACCACTGGATGACATTGTGCATGTGTAACATTAAAAAGTATAAG